GTACATGTAAATATGGTTTTAGAGCTCAACAACAGAGGTGTGCGATGGTGGTAAAGGTTAACAGGCTACGTTAGTTGTTCCGCTTTTTAATCGTGTCTTGTGCTCTCGTCCCTGCAGCTCAGTCCGTTTGTGTACAGCGAGTTTGCACGGGAGAGGAACCTACATGTGTCCCTGCTGGACCGGCTGTATGAGCACTATCCCTCCGAGTACCCCTGCAGGATCCTGCTGTGTGAAAACTACCGCTCCCATGAGGCAATCATCAAGTAGGTGTGAACTTTTTCGCATCGCTTTTCCAGAGGAGAGAGATGTGGAAAACAAAAAAAAAACACGCACTGGTGTGTGCTGCTGTGTGAGGAGAATTGTACACCACCTGAATATGAAATTTCTGTCTCATTTTCTCTCATTTCTGTCATCGTCTGTCACTTGTACCAACACACAGCTTGAACACATTTTGCTATATTGCTTGACCTTCTTGCGAGTAAGGTCTGCTGCGAGTGACGGCTGACAAAACATGGCAGGGAAATTAATTAACAGAGAGGTGTTATGAAACTTTGAGCCTTTTTTTTTTTTTGAACTTCTTGGAAGGAAAGAGTGAGCAAAATGTCCTTGATCTGCTTAGGAGCTGAAAATGTTAATTAAAGCAGATAACTTAAGTGTCTTCTGCAGAAACATTTGCATAGCATCTGGTTGTAATGAATCATTTATCATAAAATCTGCATACGTTGTGCTGCAGCAGATTTCCTCCAGTTTAATAGGGAAGTTAAACAATGAATAAGGTGTGAAATTTGTTTTGTGAGAATTTATTTTGTGGAAATGTTTTATAAATTCTTCGCATTATGGTTTGAGATCCAGTACTAAACATGTCCTTTTGCATCATTTCAGAGAAATCCTTTTCCCCTTCTGATTAATAAGCTCAGTGATTTTACAATGGTGTCATTTATCACCTGTATTTTGTATGTTTGTTTACCTGTATTGCAAGAGCATTTGTAGAACAGTACATATTGTATAACAGGCTGCTAGTAAATATATTAATGGTCCAGTTTAGTTAAGTGTGTGAAGTATAGTATAGTATAGGAAGATCTGAGCCTGTTGAGTGACCTTTATGAAGCAACCAGTGCTGACTCTGTAGTTTGCTCCCGGCGGCTGCAGCTACACATCGGAGCTGTTCTACGAGGGCAAGCTGATGGCCAGCGGCAAACAGCCCCCACATAAGGACTTCTACCCTCTGACCTTCTTCACGGCCCGTGGGGAGGACGTGCAGGAGAAGAACAGCACGGCGTACTACAATAATGCTGAGGTAGCACTTCACTGACACGTTGCCCTACACTTGCTTGTTTGTTAAAGAAGACCTTATAACAATAGTGTAATGAAAGTGGTTGAAACCGTATATAACTACTGTACAGGTGTGATGTTATTTATCTTTAGGTTTATTTAAAAAAAAAAAAAAAAAGGTTACAGCAAGCTGTGAAAGCAGATATCTTCAGTTAGTGTACTTGTGTGTGCAGGTGTTTGAGATTGTTGAGCGTGTGGAGGAAATGAGAAGGAAGTGGCCGGTAGCGTGGGGAAAGCTGGACGACGGCAGCATCGGCGTGGTGTCCCCCTACGCAGACCAGGTGTTTCGCATCCGAGCCGAACTCCGCAAAAAACGCATGCCCGAGGTCAGCGTGGAGCGAGTGCTCAACGTTCAGGGTGAGTGTGGGAGCTGACATCTGTGCTGAGCTTTTGTTTTGTGTAGATAGGAGAATATGATTTATTCAACCATAGTAAGCATCACAAATCAGAATCGCATCAAATTCACAAAAATGAGAGTGTTTACAGTGAATTTTGGAGAAACCCTTCTCCCAAATTCTACCTTTTGATATTAAGACAAAGAAAGAAAAAAAAAAAGCAGAACCAAGTACCATGGTGGATACAAAGAACGAGAATTCCTATCGTTACAGACCTATTTGTGTCTTTCAGCAATTTTGGCAGATGTTAGGAGTTTTAAAAATAATCCTGCTCCCTTCAGTGCTCCCTCCAATGCCACTTCCAAAAACATACAAGCACTTCGCCTAGGCTAGAACACCTGATTCCTAGTGCAGGAGGGTGAATTTTCTGAATTAACAGGCTTCCTTGTTCTGATTGGTTGGTGGGTTTTTTTCCTTCCCATTTACAGAGCCTGGGGCGCCTCAGAAATATTTTATTGAAGCCGCTAGAATGCGAGGAGAGCTAATATCACAAATATTACAGAAAGTTTTCTGACTATAAAAAGTGGCTGAACCTACTTTTAAGTTATTATTTGTATAATGTCCTTCCTTTGCAGTATTTGTTTACCAAGTCCTAAAGCAGAGTTGCTCTTAGAAAATAAATGGCTGGATAATGAGCTGAGGAGCTGAATGTGGTGGATTGAAAAGATGAAAATGTTGACAGGGCAGCGGGTCCCCAGGACCAGACCTCTGGCATTAGAATGATTAAGAATTTCTGTTGGACGTTCAAACATGATAGCTGTGCTGTTTGGTTCTGCTTTTGAGTGGCAGTTGTTTTCATCATATTAGAGATTATATCAGGTCATAGGTCATATTAGAGCAGCTGTTGTGTATTAGGATGCAATGTGGCTTTAACTCTGCTCAGTGTGTTTCCTGCAGTTGTGCTCTGATATGTTTTAAGGGCGGACTGTTGTTTCTGCATGTGGTAGGTTTTCTAACAATGGAATAAAAACAAAGCTATTCCAGGACACTCACTGTTTTTTAAATTAGCGCTAAGCCTTAAAAAAAAAAAAAAAAAAAAAAGTTGTGCATCACGACATATTACCACGTTGCCCAAAACAATTACGCAAAACAATTCTGAATAGTTCATAGTTCAGAGCCTACGACTATGAATAACGATTAAAATATGGTGCAAATGCAACCAAATTATATCGTTGAACCCATTTATAATGAACCTCATGTTTGTTGACGTGTTCTGCGCCACTGACTGCACTTCGTTTGACATTTATATGGAAATTAATGATTGTGGACTCGCATTCAGCACCAACAATCACCTAATTCTAGACCTAGCGTGTAAAGAGTCGCCAAGAGAGACGACTAAGAGGGAGAACTGAGTGAGTGAAAGCCCACTAAGCACTGCGAGTTTCATCACACTAGCAGGAGCAGTGATGGTTGAAGTGCTAGATTAGTTTGTGCATAATTGATGAGATGTTTGACTACCTGGGCAATTCCGCTGAAATTGCCTTTTGGAGGAGCGCAGGTCCTCAGGTGCTCATTCCCCACAGTGATTAATGTGAAATAATCCTTCCTTTTGTCCTGTGGTAACGAAGTCCCAAATCAAACTCAATCACTCCCGTCTCAAAGCGCTGTCACTAGAAAAACATTCCCTGACGCAACTGTTCCATTTGTATGGTAAAGAGCATCTCATTCAGCCTCTTATAAATACTTAGAGATTGCTATTTTAGAAGAGCTTGCTTGTTTGCAGTACATTGGTCATTAGGACCTGTTGTGTGTTGTGTATATATATTTGCTCATATATTTTTGAAAGCCATTAATACTCTTCTGTTATTTTTCATCATTCAATATGATGCTGTACCTCTAAATATTAAGTAGTGTAGTTCTTGGGAAGACCCTCTTTTCAAGCTGTAATTTTTAAATGGTACCAAAATAAAGCCTATTCTTTTCACACTGCGAAAAATGACAGCAAGTGAAAATGTCTTGAATATAGTCAAATTGATCTAGTATTTCTGGTTATAATATTACAGTAAACCTATTACGAGATTACAACTATTTTTAAACATATTTTACTAGTTTCAAGCTTGAAATACTCTTGTTCTATTACCTGATAATTTTGATGATTTTAAGCATTTATTTCTAGTAAGAAGCAAAATTATCTGCCAATAGAATAAGAAAATTTTAGATAAGATAAGATGAACTTTATTGATCCCACAGTGGGGAAATTCGCTTATCACAGCAGCTCAGAGACAGTTAAAGTGCAGGTATTAAAGTCTATACACCTTGTACACTATACACTATACACCTTACACTATACACTATGCCTTGTACACTATACACTATACACCAATTTTAAGTAGAAATGTTTAGAAAGTTTATATCTGGTTTATTGTAATATTATAATAGGAAATACTAGATAAATATTTACTATATTCAAGACATTTTCACTTGCTAGGGTGTCGGATAAATATTTACTATATTCAAGATATTTTCACTTGCGCATGCATGCAGAAGAGGGCAGATAGCATTTTTTTGTTACACACACCTGAGTTCTGTTCAGTGCACCAGGCTTGTTGTACAGTAACTCCCACCTCCTTCCTGTAGGTAAGCAGTTCCGTGTGCTATTCCTGAGCACAGTTCGCACTCGCCACACCTGTAAGCACAAGCAGACGGCCATCAAGAGGAAGGAACAGCTGGTGGAAGACTCCACCGAAGACCTGGACTACGGCTTTCTATCCAACTACAAACTCCTAAACACTGCCATCACACGGGCGCAGTCCCTAGTGGCTGTAGTGGGAGACCCCATAGCGCTCTGCTCCGTGGGCCGCTGCAGGTAATCACACACTCTCAGAGCACAATCAATGAAACTGCCTAGAGGTCAGTGGTCCAGTTTATTAATGAGAGTTAATATTTAAAAGCCTGTTTAGGGTGGTTGACTGAGCAATGAATAAAGATGGCTTAAGGGTGCCTTGGCTCATCGTGTGTTGTTTGGGGACGTGTGAAAAAGATCATTTTGAACTGTCTTTTGTACGGCTGCATACATTGCATGTACATGTTTTTGGCACCCACCGATACCAATACTGATAGCGAAAATGAAGTGACTTGTGGCCAAGAATGGTGACCCATACTCGGAATTTGTGCTCTGCATTTAACCCATCCAAGTGCACACACACAGTAGTGAACGCACACACACACCCGGAGCAGTTGGGGGTTCGGTGCCTTGCTCAAGGGTCTCACCTCAGTCGTGGTATTGAGGGTGGAAGAGAGTGCTGGTCATTCACTCCCCCCACCTACAATCCCTGCCGGACCTGAGACTCGAATCCACGACCTTCAGATTACAAGTCTGACTCGCTAACCATTAGGCCACGACTGCCCCCTGTAGTTAGTAACATACCTGTAATTAGTTGCTGTAATTAGTAACATACCTAGTGCTGAGTTTAATGTTTATTATGTTATGGCGTTTAAGCAGTGTCTTTAACCGAGTGTGTGAGGGTGGCTGCTCCGAGCATGCAGAGCAAGTATTATCAGTGAGCGTGGGCATTAGACATTAGTACATGGTGCCTTGGTGAATGTACCTTGAATCTTGAACAGAGTGTAGACCCTGGCGAGAGGAAGCGTGCATGTCTCAGTGCTTGTAGAACTGAGGTGCTCTCACATGTGATGGTTTCTATGCATGCTTGCTTCACTGCTCTATGTCATATGCTGTAGTTCTGCCTCTTCGTTTTTTTCATAGAACACAGTTTGCAGTCTTCTTTGCTTTGATTATTAATTGTGAAATGCATCTAAATTGCTGTCATTTTGTGTCATATGTTCATTAAGGTGTCAGCGTACACTAGACTTACATCACATAGCATCATGTGGTATCAGAGCATTTTTATGAGGAAATATGCATGATATTCAACCAGTACTTGATTCCAGTATCAGTACGGATGCATCCCTGGTGTCATGATTGATGAAAAACAATTAGTGAACTCTCTCTTGGAGCTCATCTGATGTTGTGGCTTAATTGCGATGCAGCAGACATGCCTACTAAGTGTAGTGCAGTAACTGCAGCCTTTTCTCAACGACCTGATTTGAAAAACCGAAGCTGCCATTTTAATTAGTGTTCTGTTTATTGTAATTTGTTAATCGCATTTTATTTGTTTCGTTAATTGGACAGGCCAACGGTAAAGCTGCAGCTGGTGGAGCTCTGAGATGGTGCTTTTCGAACATTAAGTGTATCTGGCATCAGCCTGTGCTGTGAGCTAGTCTGAAGATGGCCAGGCGCTCACAGCTTCCCCAGAGAAAGTCCCAAGTTTCAGTCCGCCTGGCACACTCCAGCTTCACGCTGTGCCCTTTAGCGCCAGGGGATAGTGAGGAAAATGCAAATGCACTTGGCACTTTTTCCTGGGTGCGTGGGAGGGAGATAGTGTGAAGCTACTGCACTTGCTACTGATTTGTATTTGTGTGTGTCCATATTCTTGTTCAAACTGAGAAACAGAGATAGAATGGCACAAAATGGTGTGAAGCTTATCATGACAGCAGCTCCATATATCCAGTGGTTGATGGGAAAGAGACAGTCCTCTGTATTGTCGAACAAATGCTTTGATTTGTGACTCAAGGAAAAAAAAAAAAACTGTTGCTATCTCAGCAGCAGAAGACCAACTTGAGTTGTGTGTGTCAATACATGCTTCTTGAGAGCACTGCCCATCATCCCGTGCTCCCCAATCCGTATCTTCCCTAGCTGCAGCTCCACTGTCGCTATGGTGACTGCCTCACGTCAGCCATTCACTGGAGCCCGGTTACAGGAAATGTCAAGCCAAAGGGCCCAGCAATTAAATCAATCTCTGTCTGTGTGCTCATGTTGTGGAAGGAGGAGACGCAGTGCTCTGATCCAATGTTATACTCAATACTCTGTTTAACACGCAGCTTTGGAGTATCAGTAATCTAAAGACAAGTAGGAATTCAGCCTGCTTTGGAAAATGAATTATCTACACCAGTGGTTCTCAGAGTGGGATCCAGGGACCTCCAAGGGATCGTGAAGCATATCCTGTGGATCCATGATTATTTCCCCCCCCCCCATGTTGTGTTACAGTGCTGGAAATCAAAAGCCACTATTATCAATTAGCCAGCTTGACTGATCACTTGAATCAAATCAATGTAATCCAAACCTCATTAAACCTCATTTAAAAAAAAGAATAAATAAATAAATGAATAGTTGGCCTGTAAATAACATCTACTGGAATCTAATGTGTTGTGACTGTGGAAGGTCGAGGACAGGAAGACACAAAAATAACCCTGCTTCACTTTTTATATTATCACATAGTGTAGCCCGGGCCAGAATCTTACATTAGTGGTAAAACTCTTGCAAAGATTTTTGGATGATAATAACAAGAATTGTCAGGAAGAGAATATAATTATGTGAATATAATATCATGCATAATGATTTATGGAAATGTCTTTTGTTATTCACCAGTCACCAGCAGTGTGTCTGAAGAATGCACAAACTGATGAACCCACCAAACCAAACACTGATCACACTCGTCACCCCTGCAAACTGCCACCTCCTTTACTCTAGACTTAACAAAAATAGCTTTATGAATACATACATTGTTTTATCTTTTATCCAGGCCTGTTATCATTTTCCTTCTACTAAAACTAATATATTCCAGTTGTCTTTACAGAAAATATCCCTCTGTTTTGATATGCAGATTATAGTTATGAATATGCAAATTAGTGCATGACACCATTTAGCAACTCATGACTTTTTTTTTTTTTTTTTTTTTTTTTTTTTTTTTTTTTTTTTTTTTTTTTTTTTTTTTTTTTTTTTTTTTTTTTTTTTTTTTTTTTTTTTTTTTTTTTTTTTTTTTTTTTTTTTTTTTTTTTTTTTTTTTTTTAATGCATGCATTATTACCTGCTTTCTTCTGAAATGAGAGACACACACACACGGACACACAAAATCTTTCTGGAGTGAGAGGCTGTTGTGTCGACTTGACTTGGCATTAATGAGTCTGCTCTCCAGAACTGCTATGATGTACTCAGAGGAGATGCGGAATGATGCTGTCTAGACGATAACGCAAACGTCTCTCATTAACTGCATTAGCATAATCAATTACAACTATTATTTTCCCAAATTGCAGCCCATTTTAGAAATCCACCACCCAGCGATATAAGCCCAGGCTGCTATTTGGGAGACTTTTGATGTCTATGAGCACTTAGTTTGAACGCGTATTTTTTTTTTTGCACGTTTGAGACCCGAGACTGACGTCTCTCCAGGCAAGCTAGTAAATTCCCTTTTTTTGCTTTCTTCTTCTGATTAGATTAGGTTATTGACGTTCATATTTGCAGCTCATGTGGTTTTTGATTCATCTGAAAGCATTGCAGGATGTGGATATGGAACAGTGGGCATGTCTTGTTACATTCTGTCGCTGACATTTCTTGACTGAACGCTCTGCAAGCTGGGTTTCAAAAATGCAAGACTTGAAAATGATGCAAGGATTTTGTTGTCCTCCCTTGGGTTTCGGGTTTCTGACTTGTTTTAAATGCTTGCTTAATAATGAAGGCACATTTCCCTCGGTGCTTTCTTAGTTCCAGGCCACATAACCTTCTCATGTTTTCACCTCGAAATCCTAGTGAAGGCCACCAAACATAACATGTCAACTTGTATGCTGCTTTTGTGTACTAGTTAGTTGCACAGCTGAAATGTTGTTTTGTCCCAGTTAAACAGATTGGATCCCCTCCTGAGAGCAAGATTCGTCATAGCAGCATGGCTTCAAGTTTTGATGTAGAATGCAGTTTTCTTTCAGTCATTGTATTTGGAATTACGTGATGTTATTACACAGTTTTTCCAGCAGTTTTTGGTGAAAACAATTTTTATGAACATTTCTTTCACTATCGTTTTCGAGAATGGTCTTAGTTGTTGCTTTATTTTTTCATCCATAAACAAATAATAGCTTTCTTGTGTATTTAGATACTAAATTATGTAAGTGTGTAAGACTACTTAATGTATTTAGCTGGGTAAATGTGATTTCAGTATAATGTTCTGTGTACAGCAAGCACATCCTGCTCACTGTACACACCTCTCTTGCCTTGCGCAGAAAGTTCTGGGAAACATTCATCTCCATCTGCCATGATAACGGGAGTCTGCATGGAATCACATTCGAGCAGATCAAGGCCCAGCTGGAGGCTCTCGAGCTGAAGAAGACCTACGTGCTGAACCCACTGGCTCCCGAGTTCATCCCCCGAGCCCTGAGAGCCCAGCAGCCCCAGGGACCCGGCAAACACCAGCACTCCCCACCTAAGGTATGAACCAGCTACCATACTGCTAAAGCTAAATCACATCGTAGCAAACCACTAAAGCAAATAGGCTTAGGCTCCACTCACAACCACAGAGATATAAGTTCCCAGTCATCAAATCATTTTACTACTACTGGTAGTGCCAGGCTAGTGTGATACACAGACAAACAACAGTATCCACACATGCTACCTACAAAATGTATACAAAAACCACTCATTTTAGCCACAAATAAAAAAAAAATCTCTCGGGAAATGTTTGTATATAAAATGCATCCACACATCAAGCCTGTAGCAGCAGAGTAAGTATTACTGAGTGGCTCAGGAGCTGCATGTAGGATTGATTATACTCTCACTGGGTGTGGCCACATTGTTAAACTTTGAATTTGCATGAAGCTAAACTCCATTTCAGCTTTTTACACCAATCCTCCTGCCCATTTCACATTGTTAAGAGTTGTTCTGCCTCCCACTGCTACAGATCGTCAGCTCACATGAAAGGGAACGAATTCCAGCTACTGTGTTGTCATGTCAGTGTCGTTGTGAGCTCAGGATTAGAGGGGTAACATTACTGGTAATTCCATCTCCTTCTGGTAGCTACCTATTCTTTCCCAAATGCACATCTTCGACACTTGTCAGATTGGTAGTTACATTGCTATTTTGAGTGTGGTTGTATAGATTTGAGTAATTAATTAGGTATTGCTTTCTTAGATCTAGAACTGGGTATGGATATTTAGGCCAGTTTTGTATGTGTATAATAAGTTAGGACATACTATAGTAGCACTGAATCACCTAAATAAAAATTGCACACTGGAAAATGTAACACACTGGTCAGAAACCAAAACCGTAAACCTAAATACTATATTTTTTACAATGAAAAACCATGAGCAGTAATTAAGTGAAAGGGTAAAATTACTTGAGGTACTTATTGGAAAGCAGTTACAAGTTTAGCCTTAAAATAATCTAAACCAAAAATGTTTGCAACATGTCAGACACTGGGTGAGTGAGTACTGGGGTTTGCTGGCAGTGGGCGCAGCACGGTATGTGCTCAGACATATGTGAATGAGCGAAGAGTGTTCACCTTCTGCCTGTGTGATATTAATA